TCTTCCCAACATTGTCTCTATAAATAGTTGAATGATGAATGAATGTTTTAAAAAATGGAGGTTAGAAACACTTGAAAACGAGGTATTTTCGCTCTCGAGTTATACAAAACTTATTAGCATCGGTAAACGGACAGCAGATTTGAATTTTGTATTACTAAGAAAATAGAAACCCATACACAAGTCTCTACTCCCGCCACTACTAACACAAGTAGACCTCAATAAAACGTACGCGTAGTCCAGAGGCAAAACAAGGACTCATATCAGTATTTGCTCACTGGATCAGGGAAACTAGATGAAAACCTGTTCAAGATAGGGGTCATTGATTCGGAAACTGAAATGCATTACCTGTTACATGCATATTAAGACATTTTTAAATTATACAATACAAATGTAAACAAATATATTAAATAGCATTGCTAATTTTCTTTTTCTTTTTGATGGTCAGTACAGTGTCTAATTGTATGGAAACAGTTATGCTGAAAAGATACTTTTAACTTAAATTTCTGTACCGACTTTAATTATTTGATGTCATTTGGCAATGAGTTGTAAAGTAACATACTACATGTATTATACTTTACGTATTTCTTATGAGCTGTTGATTCTGACATCTGATGAATTTGATTTCTACGACGTGTGGTGTTATATCAGTTTGCTTGAAAATAGGTTCCCATCGTTATGTAAGTCAGTTTTGAAATAAATAAGGAAGGCAATATTCCAAACTCAATTAAGAGGTGCTTGCAGGAATCACGTACTTTCTTATTATTCGATTTTTTCTGCAATTTAAAAGTCTGGGTATATGAGTCTCTGCAAAATATGCCAAATCTCATTCGGGGATATACATTTGCAAAATAAATATCCGCAACGAGCTGCATTAAGGCTGCCAAATCTTGAAAGAATTCTACTTTCATAACATAATGAATATATCGAGAGATATGAATCTGAACATTACTAATGCAAGATGAAGTGGGAGACCATTCAGTTGTGTGTGAAGCCATTGCCATTATTAGTGGTCGTAGTAAACCGCAGTTACGCCGGGGGGAGGAGGAGGGGAATCAGGAAAGGTCCGCACTCTTCCCGATGAGCAAGAGGGGGTGCGGTCGCCTCCACTGCGGATCATTGTGGATGCGCGTTCGGTGTTTGTTGAACTTCCTGTGTCGCCATCCCCTACCCGGCGTGCACTTTCCTTTATAACTGCTGCTGCCAATGCCGCTGCCGCTGCTGTTGCGGCATGTCCATTGGGCCCGCCTTGTTTTGAGTTCAATTTCGATATACGGATATTCCATTTGTGGTTTGACTGAATAGAGAGACCACAATTTTTTTACCGAAACATCCGCTAGTTGCAAATCGTTCACTAACAATTGAGCATGCAATTGCTGGTTTGAAAGTAAAAAATAATATATTGATGCAGTTTTTTCTTCATTAAACATTAATTTTTATTTTCTCGCGCTTAAAAAGGAACTTCTTGAAGAGACGTTTTTGTAAGGCTACGCGAGAAAACGTCGAATTTTCTGCAGACAAACTCGTATTACAGGGCCCTGATAACAAACAAAATTGGATAAATTCAGTTGGTAAATTTAGAAAAACATCCTCTAGCATGTGGTGTAGCCAGAATCTGTGTGTTGTGGGTCCTTGGTACCGAAAAATCGATTGACGGCACGCCTCTCCTACCGTCTGTCTGAACAACGCTAGCGGCTATACCGTTCAGCCGATTTTCTCCAAAACTTGATGTTCCCCAATAGATCTGGCTGAAGTCGCGGCTCTTTGAATTTGAAACAGATATTTTAATTTTGGGGTTTACTTTACATGAAGCTCCTGGGACGTTTTAAATCTTTTCAAAAAAAATGGCACCTTTGATATTGATTAAATTTTGTTGCTGGATAGCCTGAAGGACGTTTAAGAGAATGGCATAGGTGCCATGTTCAAAACTCATATTTTCCGAAATTTTAAAAAGATTAATAATATTTTAGTCGTCTTCCTACAGCTAAAATATTGAAGATATTTATATTTACCCCTTATAAAATCTGTTCCATAAAGATAGAATTTGAAATAAGGTCATGTAAAATTTTTCGAAAATTTGAGTACTTTTCGCGTAATGTTGTGTGAAACATAGTCAATTTTTAGTTTTTGTTTCACCATTTTTTTTCTCAAAACGGCTCCATTATTTTTGTTGAAATTGTGTTGGTGGATAGGCTGAAGTACATTTAAGAAAATGGTGCAGATGTCATGTTGGGTGAAAACCCTGATTTCTCGACAATTGAAAAGTTTCAAAATTTATTTTGACGACTGCCTACCATCTACAATTATGAAGATATTTTTTTTCTTAATGAAATGTGTTCAGCAAAGCAGATTTTCAAATAAGTTCATTTTGAATATTTCGAAACTCAGTATTTTTAGAGTAATTGGACAAGAAAGTAAAATATTAAAAGTTAATAAATAATGCGATACTGTTAGCGTTTGAAACCAAATTGATCGAACAATATATAGGATCAAAGGTCAAAGGTTAGAGTTTGTCACTCGCTTTGAAAATACTGCGCTTCTTGATCGTAATGTCAGGTGTTTTGAGTCAGTTGGATGATTCGTAAGTCAGAATGTGTATAGTATTACATATTTGTTATTTTTTGTACGTTTCTTACATTAGAGCCTTTTTTATACGTTTACAAATTAATCGTTTAGAAACTATTTAAACTAAATATGAAATAAAGATTGCTAGCCTTCAGTCGCCCGCTCCTAGTTAAGCAATTGAACGATGCTACGTAAGTTAGAATTAGTATATTATTTAAAATATCGTTTTATTATTACTAATTATATATTTGTGTTATTTCGTTTTAAATTGCGTCGTTTAATTGTGTTTAATGTGAAAAAGATTTGATGAGAGGTCATTCTGGTTGCTGTTACGCATTGTCGTAATGCCGCGCACAAATAAAAGGATCATGACGACTGCTTTAGTTCGCTTACTTGACTTACGTGACTTTTTCAGCGGCAAAGTCGCAGGCCGTCTGTTACACCCGCCGCAAACCCGCATACACTAAACGTTTTACACCACCAAAACAAATTACTCTTGGTACACAAAAACTAACGTGGGCACCTAACGCAACGTACTTAGGCGTTACTCTTGATTGAAGGCTGCGCTAGCATTTACGTGTCAGGTGAATTCGATCAAAATTACAACAAAGAGTTCGACTCTTACAACTTCTTTTGAGGGAATCTACACTTCTCTTGGAACTTCGCTTGGCACTGTATAAAACGTTTTGCCGGCCTGTGGACACCTACGCTGCGGCAACGTGGTAGACTACAGCACAGAAGTACAAGGATACACTTGAGCTGGTACAGAACAAAGTTCTACGGCTCATAGCACGTCCTCCGTTTCGGAATCGGTTGAAAGTACTGAGGAAGGAACTTGATATCGAGTCCTTCACTCAGTGATTGAGACGGCTGTCGTGAGACGCCTATAACGCCTTTCAAACCAACGAAGCTCCGGCAACGCTAAAGCAATTAGCTCGAAGACAAGCACTCCCCTCTGATATTCTAAGGTCGTAGTGCAACACAAAAGCCGATTCGGCTATTGCCTAAGGTCCGACATGAACCCATACCCAGCAGTAAAACGAAAAATGCGTGCACACTGCAACACGTAGCACATTAACTTTTGGATAAGCCCCCCCCCCGTCAAAAAAACCTTTAGTTCGCGGAATGTTTTATAATATTTTTTGAAATGTTTGTTTTCCAACGCTATTAAAATCGTATTTTTATTAACTTTTAAATATTTTACGTATCTGTATTCTGCTTATTTTTCGTACTAAATATTCTAAGATTTCAAATGAGTTACACAAAAGATAATTCGGAGAAAAATTGTAATATAACAGCATATTCTTCAACAACCGTAGAATGATAGCCATTATTCACGATTTGATGTTTGCTACACGAGCAACGTAGGGGCGAGTGTCGTAATTTCTACGAGTGAATAATATCCATTATGCGCGAGTTGACTATACTTTCTCTACGACCTTGCAATTTTCAGAATAAAATTTCTTTTTTTCTTTTACGTCGCCATACACGCACTTTGCTCTTTAGCAACAACCATCCAACGCATTAAGAACGCGTCCATAGCAACGACCGTTTAAATACTGAGAGTCCATTAAAGTATGTTTTCTACTACTGTCCGTTAATATACTATCTGCATAATGCAACCCCATACAGGAATGAAAATGTAATTTTAATAGCCGCCGGCCGTTAAGGAGCCAAGTGATCTTCGAACTATTTATTAAAGTTAGAAAAAAGTTGAGAAGCAACATAAATACAAACGTACGCCCAGAATCTAAATAACACCTACAAAAGTAATTTTCAACTGTATATATAGTAAATACATTCAATTTTTTGTGTTTGTGCAATTCAGTGTAACTATCTATCCATTGCTCGTGGTTTCTAGAATATAAAAAGTTAATGGCACAAGTTCATCTCGTCTCCAAATGGGATAAATGGACAAAGAGAAAAAATGGCACATATGTCAAGGGCATTCCCTAAAATACTAAAAATTACAACAACCGTTCTAAGTAGACATTTGCGTCCAGTACAAATTTTCTTACGATAAAATGTTCTTACGATAAAATCTTGGTCTTCTTGTAAATGTCGCGTCTGAAGTAAGAATAATATTGATATGAAATGGAAGAGGGTATTGCACTCCACATATTAAAAGCAATGCCGTTTCTTATTTGTTATTTTTTTCTAATAAGAAGATGAAATTACAAAAGTATTGAACGACACACGGCCGATATCACAAATAACAGACTCGTTTGGTTATAAACCTCGGCTATCGCCTCAGTTTACAAACTTCAACCCCGTCTGCTGTTTGATGTTTATTGACATAATGACGTTAATAACTATTAGCGAACTATTAGCTGTTGTTTATAAATATTTGGATAAATATATACATTATATCCCACTTGTCCCTTGTTCTTTTTGTCCCATTTCGTTCATTTTCCCCCCATATTTCATTTGTCCCCCTTTTACGTTTGCCCCCTTGGCTCATTTTGTCCTCTTGTCCGTTTTGTCCCTACGTCCATCTTGTCCCTTTGTCCCTTGTCTCCTTAATCCCCTTAGTCCCTGGTCTCCTTTATCTCGTTTGTCCCGTGTCCCATTTTGTCCTCTTGTCCATTTCTCTGTTTTTGTCCTTATTATTTTTCTTAAAATGATACAAGTGGAAAAATGTCATTCATTTTTTCGAGTAGGAAACGAGGCCGATACATCTCCTGTCACAATCCTACGAGAAAATAAAATCACTTTTACTACGTATCATACCTATTTTCTAATCTTACGGACTTCAATTTTATTTTAAATCAAGTACACAAATCACTTAATGGTATAGTAAGTAGTTGGCGCGGTCATACGAAAGTATTTCGTTTTCCTTGTTGCATTCAATCTTATCTGATCACTTGAACATCGTCTCACTTCTAGCAGTAGGGCTAAAAATTTTACTTTTCGTACGCTAAGCATGCATTGAATGAATCACTTTTACTAGTGGCTGTCTAAAAAAATACATTTTTTATCTTAAAAATACATTGCCACTTTTGTATTTATACAAATATAACACCAATAACCGTTCACGTTCTTTGGCATTTTTTTAGAAATAGCCAAAGTTGAATATTTTAATAATATGAATATATTTCCAATTTTAAAGTTCAAATTTCCTTTTTGTGCGAAAAAATGAAATTTTAAACCGAAATTCTCGACAGTTCGAATATTTCTTCTCTTAACTGTAGTGATTTTTACATACTAAAATATTTTAAGCAAAGTAGCACATAATAGTTTCTCTAGATTCTGCTGCACTCTCCTCGCAGCCAGACACAATTCAGGTTTATTCCTTTTTGTACGATGCTGGATATAATAAGGAAACAAAAAACATATTAAAGGTACATATACGTTCAAACTTAAATAACCTGAATTTTATTTGCGTTAGAAAAATGACCTAATTTGAAGGTAATATCAGATCAAATGGCCGAGAATAAAAACGAAATTAGTGTAGTTCGGCTCCTCGAAATACCGTTCTGCATCACAAACAAAGTGGTATGAATTGAAAACCAATATTTGAAGAATAATTCAATAAAATGAAAATATTTTGAAAACACAAGCATTATCTTATAAATGTAACTAGAACCGTGAGTATTAACGTAGATGATCACAGTAAAAAAACCTGAGATGACGTGGAAAACACGAAAATAAACGATGTACGAGAAAAAAACATGCGAGTATCATTGGAAACTCAGTCTAAACGACATTACTCCTTTCACTCTGCCTTCACGTCTACGTCGAACAACCTCTATGAGCCTACGTATTAATCTCTCTTGTAATCTGTTTCTTTTCCCCCACTCGTTTACTCAGCCTAAACACTGAACCGCGCCACACCGGCATTATCGGAAAGCAATTTCGGTGCAAGGCGTTCCCAAAGTTCTCATTCAGCGCTTTCTTCAGTTGGACAAAGGTAACACTTACGAAGGTGATTTCGGTGGGCGGTCCGGTGACGTCAGCTATGCCCACGCCCACGTTGTAGTCGGCGACCGCGACCGCGAACAGCGTCAAGAGCACTGACGCCAGAATCAGCGCCCTCGCCATGACAACGGGACTCTGGAACAGTCAACGCAGACACACGGTTAATTTCTTTGCTCTTGTTTGCACCTGTGTTTGAGTGAGGCAGATGAAGTTATCAGGTAGATGAAGAAATAAACGATCAGCAGATGCACGTGTAACCAAAAAAAAATGCAGAAAATTCTGGCTATTACATTTTATTACTCATAGACGTTGTATTTTTAAATTACATCATTCATAATCTAAACTCAATTATTTTCAGTTAACGTGCATTACATGTGGTAGTTAATTCACTGCATTACTGAGAAAATGGATCGAAGCTAGAATTTGCGGCTTCGCCATGGCAACGGATCTCTGTAACAACTAACGCAAATCTGGGATTAATTCCTTTGCTTTTGTTTGCGTGTTGTGTTGGCATGAAACAAATTAGGTTATGAACGAGTAAACAATGATATAATGAAGTAAATAAACAGCTATTGTAATATCCATGAATACATATAAATTAACCAGATTTTCTTATTTTACTATTAACAATATATAAAATTCATTTTATGAGGTACTATAGAAATATATAAAGTATAATTCAATACCTGGTCCATGACTCACAAAAAACAGTTTAGCGATCTTGTATTTTTTTGTGTTCCGATTCGTTTACTTGATAAACTGTAGGTAATACGAGGCCATGTTAATGGAGAGAAGATGGTGAGACTCATAAAGAATTAACTGATTACCCTACATGGCCCGGGTATTTATTTACAGCTCTTGCCTACCGAAGCCCTATAGGCCCCGCCCGGCAACACCTAGCAACAATGCCACCTCATGGAAACAATGACCCTTGTTTTGTGATTAAACCAAATTTGGGTCAAAACGTGGAATCGCAAAATTCTCTTCCGTGCTTCTGAACGGATGCTGAACAGTGTTCTTGCAAAATTGGGGAGCCATGACCCAAGTGTTTCAAAAGTTATAGGAACATACACATACCCATTCATTTTTATATGAAGATGCGTTCCAGTACACAGAACATAAACATATATGTATGTGTGTTGTTGTTAGTTTTTTTTCGAGGGCAGGGGAAAATATTCCAAAGACACTGCGGGATCCGCACTCCGCAGCTTGTGAGATTCACAGGTAGTCTATGCCTTACCCACTAAAAACCTCCCATTCCTCCAATTCCCTTCCCGCGGAACCGCCGTCAGGCATTGCATCACGGGAGGGGCACATGTATGTATGTGTGTGTGTGTTAGTGACTGGACGTGTGTTTGTATATACGTATAGTAAGTGAAGTAAAATGAAATATTATGTGTGGTAACACACAACCATTCAATAATAAACTTCATGAACATTTTACAGTTGTACGAAGAATTTCAAAGCAACACATTTCCTTATGGCACTGCAGTATAAATCGCAATGCACTCCTCCACAAGTTCTGCGTAGTGATTACGCAGTATTGAAAAAAACGTTTCTAGTGGATTTATATATTTGAAAGGCGTCTGATACTCGATGTGGAAAATTGGGTAACAATTTTGAATGATAATGCAGAATTATAAATTGTTTTTAAAAGTGCTTATTAGGGATGTGTCGATCGTGAACGAAGTTCAGTTGAACTGTTCTCGAAAAGAAACGGTACGATACGGAACGACCATTTAGGGAACGATCGTTCGTCTGTCACCGGTCATCGTTCGTTGTTCGCCGATCGTCGTTCACCTACTTCGTAGTTCGCCGGTCGTCGTTCATCTAGTTCAGCGATCTCTGGTCGCTTTTTTAGTTTGCAGGTCATCGTTCGTCCTTCATCTTAGTTTAACTAACGTAAATCGGCCAATATGGCATCCCTGTCTACGTTACCAAAGTAAATGAACCCTCTCGTTGGTTTGAACTATTTCAACCAACTAGTTAACTACAAAGAACGATCGTATAAAATACCGTTCACATAAAGGAACGTCTTTGCCCATTCTTAGTGCTTATTTCTCTCATATATAAGCATCTATTCCAGTCATTGAACAAAGGATTTCTTTCCTGCGGTATTTCAACGGTAAAAGTTCAGTTTTTAGAAACGAATTGCTCTTCATCTGTCCTTCCATATTATTTTCACAGCCTTCAAAACAATATTCTCATATGACACGCAATATATTCCTAAATTTCTTGAAAAACTTTCAATCATTATTTTTTTTAAAATATTGTAATAGTACGGTCCATACCTAATTAACTTTGTTTACATTTTATCTCTAAACAAATAAAGTCAAGTTTCTTTTCAAACAAGGCAGAGTTGTTATTTTTAAATTAACGGGTTTTTTAATCCATTGTGAGAATTGTATGCCCGCAATTTTAAAACCTCCAATATACAAAAAAGTCATACGTTTGTAAATATTTCTTCAGCATATATCTTGTAGTAATCGACAATGTGAGAAAGGAAATAATCGTCCACAACAATCAACGTTATCATGTTTATTGACTTTGAAAATGTTATAAGTAATAAATATTATAACTTTCATTGTTGTGGACGATTATTTCTTCACAATATTTAAGTAACTAATGTCAAAATTGATTGATTCCAGTAACAAAATATATATTACTTTCTTAATAAATGAAAATATAGATTGGTCAGATGGCGGAGATCGTTAGAGCAGTAAGTAGGGCCGTAGCAGTCTAGGACTGCGGGCTCGAGACCGCGGGTTCGAGTCCCGCCCGGGGCACGTGTGTGTATTTGTGTATGTCTATATGTGTGTGCCGTCCTTTCATCCGTTACTATCAGTATCATCGCATCATCCATACCCCCAGGTCTAACAACCTAGGGGGATAAAAATCGGAATTCAGCTAAAATGCTGATCCTCCCGAGATAAAGATACTGCTGAAACAAGATGCACGCGAGGTCAGAGTTAACCTAAACGCGAAAAAAAAGAAGGAATAATAACTTAATAAAAAGGCTCTCCCATGATGTAAAATTGAAATAAACAATTGTATTTATCATATAAATTGTTATGTTACATAGAAATTTGGTTGATTAAGTAATGAGTGTAATAAGAATCGAGAATTAAAGAAATGCTTTAAATCTCGCAAAAACCACTTTGAAAGCACAATCATTTAAATTACAAAGAAGAAATAATATAATATGGAAATACGGTTGACGTCAAGTGATACGTAGATGCAAAATAGCAAATTAATCACGTTACGTCGGCGTGAAAGATCAGCGTATAGGAGACCTATATATGACTGACCTTAACCAGCGGAAAGGAACCTGAATGTCTTCGATCCCCCTCTCTTTGCTTGGTAGATGAATAACCTATCTTGTAGTTAAAACACTGCTGTTCCTTTTTTCCCATTTGTGGATTTTCCCCCCTTTGTTTCGAAATAAGCTGCAAATTCCCTTGTTTTGAAGTCTTCAAGCCGTGTTAGCTGAAGTGTTAATAACGGCGAGAAAATCTATAGCGCCTGCCCACGCAGATTAGATTAGTTTGAAATCTTTTAAGAAAATGACGTTAGTTTCGGGTCAGTGACCTTTGGGTGCAATTGTATCGGGGAGATGAGATAAGATCGTTTCCGTACGATGTTTATTTTGATGGGAAGACGAGATAACATCACTGAAGGCCGTCGGCCCTTCGTTGACAATAGTTGTAGTAGGTGAGTTGCAATAAGAGGGGGGCGTTTGATGCGATTAATTTGAGTCGGTATTGTAAATATGTGTTCCTTATACATGCATGTTTGTTTATTTCAAGAAATAAGAGCTTTGTCAATGTTTATAGTATAACGTCGAAAAAGTCATGCGAAAGAATCTTTATACTTAGTTTTATGGTTAGGCACGAATCCTTTATACATGAGTTTTATTAATACTTAAGCACAATTGCTTGAAGAAAAGATGTTTTCCTCTATTATTGACTTAGTGAAATTCCTCCTTGATCTCACGTAAGCTAAACTATATATTACTGTTCTTACGTTTTTAAATAACACAAAATTATTAATGATATTGATTAAATTATGAAAACCTAACTCTTGACATTTCCTCCAAATTCCCCCAAACACATAATATGTAAATTGAAACTGAGGACTCAAGAGGGGGTCGCTCTTATTAAATTAACTTTATATTATTAATATCAAAACAGTTTGTACGAAAATTGTTTAATAAAAAAACCTATGTGAATTGAGTGTAAATATACCTATGTCACATACATATACCCCTTTTCGGATCGAGATTTTTAGATATATTCCATCTTTCCAAGCCATTTTCCAACCATATTGCTTTACATGACATGGGTGTTTTTTGCGTAACAGCATTCAATTGACTATCTCTAAATGGCATTCTGCACATTTTTTTAAAAAATTTGAGTAATTGTTGAGTAATTACCCATTACAGGAAGAAAAGTTTCGGTACTCCACGCATTACCACTAGTTTTATTCACAACAGTCATACGTACTATCATATATTAAACTTTTGAAAACTAGCAATTATGATATTTTTAAGAACAGTAGAAACTAGTAAAATAATTTTGGACAGGTATCCTCCCTGCAGTTGAAAATCTAGTTTCAACTGCTTCCTCCTTTCATGCATGATCCTTATTGGTAAAAAATATATTAATATTCAGGATTTTTTACATAGTAAAGAAATGGCAAGTAGTGTTTATTTGTTAAGTAAGACTCGGATGACTAGTTTGCGCGGCCAAACCTTTGATTGTTGCCCCAACTTCATCACACTGTCTTTTAGCGCACGATGCTGCAATAAAGTGCCGTTCCACGGGGTCTCGGAAGACTTCTTTACGACGATACAAGTTTATAAAGTTCTTTTTAACAGCTTGTTGTAAAAACAGTTGTTTTTAGGGCATATACTGCGTGCTGAAAGTTCAATTTTTAGCACTATTGTTGAAAGTGATACGATGCTCAAATGTTCAAATAAAACTATAAATGAGACAAAGAAAAGAAAGTATTTTCGCTTTGTCGCATCATCTATTACTGACCTTAATTGAGTGATTGATGCTTTAAAATAAAATGAAAGTTAGTGACGGTGCCTAAAAAATAGTGTGTGGCACACGTGGTAACAGTGATCTTATTTTGCTCGTGGAATTGCGTCGCTCGGCCTTGGGTCATATTTCCTACTAGCAAATACAACTCGTATCGTACATAACTATTCTGTTTCAATAAACAGAACTTGCACAACCGTAAAATAACATTATTTTGTTAATAACATGCAATTTTTCTTTCATAAGATATGCAACGCATGAGGCTGGCTTTAAACAAAACTCCGTGGGTCCTAGTTTTGAGGCCCGCTAGTGCGCGAAGTTTTTGGAACCCGTTCAGTAATAGGGTCGAATCTGACTACTGTATGTATGAGCATTTTGGGAGCTGCTTCGATCGATAATTTACATGGTTTCCTCCGACCAATTTTTGATGCGTTCAGGAGTAGAAGCTAATGCAATGGGCCAGGAAAGAGGCGCCATTCCTCCTCGCCCGTCCTCGCTTGTCCTCGACGGTTTTATGATGCATGTTCTCCCAAGTTATATATGATCTATCCCACAATTGTAGTATAAAATTAGTGGTGCTACAACAGCACGTGCTTGCTCGCATTCATTTAAACTTGTAATATTCGAAAATTTAGAGAGTTCAACGAAAATGAGACTGGTGCCATTGTTTTAAGCGTCCCTTCTTATATTCGTAGTCAAACAAATCGAAAAAATTGTAGCGGTTTTTTAGAAAATAATTGCTTTTTTTATATTAAGTTTGCCTATATTTCTCACAAAATTAAAATTATTTTACATATAAAATTAATATTATGACATAAAAAATACATATATTTGCGAAAAGGTGAATATGAACTTTTTTCAAGATTTATTTTAAACATCAGATTAATTTTTAAAAATGCCTATGTTCATTATTGTAGTTGAAGCTAGTCGCCCTCCTCCAAAAAACTGACTTTTCCACTAGTCGAAAAATCAGGGATCAAAAATCATACTCAAATGAAAATAACCGTTTGAAACGACAAAAGCCTCGAGTTCGTTCAGATCAATCAGGGAATATCAAATTTGGAGACAATGGGCTGAACGGTTTAGGCGTAAGTGTTGACCACATACAGAAAGACGGACGGACGGACGGACGGACACACGTTCTGCCGTCAATCGATATCAAAGACCCACTAAACATTGATTTTGGCTATATCCATTGTTAGAGGAAATAATTTACTGTATATAGGAACAGGATTTATCCACTTTTTCGTTACCAGTTCCAGGCAATAAGAGTTTTTCTATCGAAAATTCTATATAAAGTAAAATTTGAAATCAGGGTTGTAATTATTAGCTGTGTGATCCTTGTGGTTTTGTGGAGGGTTACTGGAAATCGAAGGAAAGATAAGATGTTAAAGTAATAATGTATTTACGTATTATTTACGAAAGTATTCGTAGAACTCGTGTGCATTTGGGAAATAAAATAATAAATTATGTTTCGATTTTAGCTCCGGAAAAGCTACCTTTCTTCCCGACAGTACGAACGCAAATACGGGTAACGTGGCTGGCTTCAAGTGTTGATGTTTGCTCGCTTTCACCCAGCGTTCAAGATGTTTGGCCGTTTATGATCGGGTAAAGCCCTAGTTGCTCCATAATCTCCTCGAAGTAACTTAGGCTAGAGCTTTTAGCTTTCTTTTTTATTTCTAAAAGCTATGTTATGGCTTATGATTTCTAAAATAAATTTATTTTGAGAAAAGATTTGTTTCGCTACTATTGCCTCTTTGAGTTTCATTCACTTGCCTGGTCGACTGTCACCCCGGTGTAGAAACACAACGTAGACTTCGAAACTCTTTAAGACTATATTCCAACTCGTTTCAGCGTGAATGATGTAACGAAATCGGTAGATAATTTCTAGATACAATAATTACATAATTTAATATATAACAATTACAATTGAAACTTATAAAGGTAAGTTTATTCAAAAATATTAAAATGTTCAATCAATAATTTAACATTTGTGTTGAAGGAAATAAAAATCTAAAATTTAAAATGTAACTTCAAATTAATAATTCATAAAAATACGTTTTCCATTGTATTCCGTATTTGCCGTATTTATCGACATCAACATTAACTATTTACGGATTATTTTCTGTGAACTAGTGAAAAATCGTTTAAAAGTTCTGTTTTATTAATCGGAAGTAATTTAAAATAAAGCGTCAAAATATCTCAAAGATTACTTCCTGTGGAAAATGCGATGACATATTGTCTCCTGATAATACATTTAAAACCGCTCAATGTTTATAAACTGCAGGAAAATATAAACGAAGACACCCTACCCAAAATGTAGTTCGTCATTGGGACCTTTTTTACACCCTGTTTTATAAAGAAATCGCTCTTGTCTTACCACACGTAACTCTCACACACATTAGCAGATTTGTAAAATGTGCCCTCAATACTTGCATTCTTTCTGTGAGTTAGGAGTGCGGAGATTAACTTTTGGTGTTACACGGAATGAAAATCTCTCTTCTGTGTGACAACTCTGAGAGCTGGGTGTCGCTGTTTGGTGAGCCATAGAAGCACTCTGCGAGAACTGCCCACCATGTTGGTACAGAACATGTTCTTCGGACGCACACTTACTGATAGAGATTGTATCAGTGAAGAAAGAAAAGAATTTCCAACTTAGGCTATTCAATATTAGGACATTTTTGTAAATCGCCTCATGCTGTTCTCTCCGAAAATTTGGCAAACAGTACGTAATTTGCAGTGCGTAGCGCCAGGCTTTTAGAAAAAAAGTATCATTGTAGAAAAGAGCCATTTGAGGATCTTAACCAATATTTAACTGAAAAAGAAATAATATTATTTATTTAACATGGATTATTTTTTAAAGCAGGGATACCCGAAATACAATTATTTACACGAAAAACATTTAAGTTTCATTTTCATGTGATAGACCACGAGTTTTTTTCTTCTTCTGAAAATCTACAGTTAGAATATATTTTAAATTCTCTAAAAAATATAAATAAATCAGGATGGAGAAACCTTTGGTTGCAATCAAAACATTTTTTTGTTCTCGAGCACATTCAATCATCTCTGAAAAGGCGAAATCCAGGCAGGCGCTTATCTCCAAGGACGAAGTTCCTGAGTTTCGCGGTCTTCCAGGGTCTGAGACGTAAGTGACGTAGGGTGAGCAGCTAACCGTTTTTTTTTTCTTCTAAACAGTGAACTCTTTGTTGCATAACAGATGCAACAACAATTTAATTTGGAACTTCTACGAGAGGTTCAAATGATGTCTCATAAAGTTTCCCGAAATATGAAAACTTTCCTATTCAAAATTGCTCATTGTCAGAAACATTCAAACGTTATTTTCTCGAAAATAACTCCAAATTTGTTTTCTTTGAATTGTTTGTGCTGATAGTACTAAATGCACTTATTAACATAATATTAATGCAATTTTAATGCATTTTCCGGCTTTTTCAAAAATTGCACAAATTTCTTTGTTTTGAAATATTTCTCTCGTCATTACTATTTTAACTACAGACATGTTTTAAATACTTTACCGTATTAGTGAGTACAATTGCTTTAAATAATTTCTTATGAATTTTCTCGAAAATTCGGAAAAGTTTGGGTAAAAATTACCTTCAAATGTGCATTTACAGAAAATCTCCAAATTGAGAAATCGTAAAAAAATTACTTTAAGGCACCAATAGTAGAAGACAGAGGAAAGGGTAGGGAAATACCCAAAATATAGCACCGACTAAGAAGATAACCTAACTAGTGCGAGAAAGTCTAAAATTCTGTAGCACTACTAGTTACATTATTCCTCCTTTTGTGAAACAAAAATACTCTGAACATACATAATCCATTGAGTTTTTCTTTGGTTATTGACCTTGACAGATTTGTACTCCACCCAATGTGGTAGGGTCGCTCTAAAATGTAAATACAGTCGACTCCGGTTATAGTGAACTCTCAGTTATAGTAAAATTAAGTCTCTGGTCCCGTTTCACATACATTACAACACGGCACAAGAAGAGTCGGTTATAGTGAACTCTGAACCTCGGCTACAATCAACGTAGGAAATACCTAGATATTCCTGGAAATTAATTTCTTCGTGAAAAAAAAATATCGCCTCGGAGCCAGAAATTCAAACACTAGGCAGCTTGGACAAAATATCGTCGGCCAAAGGTCAAAACCAAAAAAGTCTCCCTGAAGTGGAGGTAGCGGACCCGAAACCATACTGTTGACCCTAAGCTACTCAGTCTCACTGCGGAAAGGTCGTGTCGCGCGTGGGCTACAACTGGAGGCGGCGACTAGCGACTGCTTGATTCAGTTTCAAGCTTCATGTTACTTGAGGGTCCGCGGAAGCGTCCTGCGAAAGCGCATTGTTCTACATAGGCGAGGAGAAGCACACGACTGCCACAGCGTCACAGCCCAGTGACACTCGCCGCGCCGCGCGGAAAAGCTATCAATTTCATTAGCAGCTCGCGCCAAGCGGCTATGAAAAAGATCTCGTATGTTATTAGGCGAGTAAACAAGCCTTCAGACAGTGAAATGGTGTTCCAACAGAGCAAGAGGCATTGAACGGTGTCAAGGCTGCGTTACGACACGTAGTATGGAGAGAGAATCGAGTATGGAGGGAGCTCGAACTTTGAAGAAGGATCTAGAGAAATTACTAATGAAAAACGTACAAATCAAACAACTGAAAATATTAATTAATTTTTAAGGTCGAATAAAAGTATTGAAATTTCCAGTTAATGTATTGTACTGTATCTCTATATTAATAAAATCAATTTTTGTGGAGAAATTCTGTTTATTTTTTTTCCTCATCGGATATAGTGAACCTCTAGTGTAGTGTATATGTAGTGAATCTCTGATCTGAACTTCTGATATAGTGAACCAAAACTGTTAGCCCCCAGAAGTGCACTATAACAGGAGTCAACTTTATACGGGTATTAATGATGTATTCCGGTTGTTTAAATATGTATCTTTTAATATGCTGGCAGAACGCTACAGTATGACATTAAACACACTCGGGAATGATAAAGAAGATATCGAGTATAATATCGTTTCTGTTTGCCTGATGGAAAGTATTTGTGCATCTCTTTCTGTATCAGATTTTTATCATCAAAACTATGCTTTGAACTTCGGTGAAAAGGAGGTCCTTTGCTGAGTATGTGATGTGATGTAGCGCATGTTCATTTTTCAGTAAAATGTTCTCATTTATATTTATGCTCATCTGAGCCCTGGCAATCAATACGGCTTCTCGGATTTTCATTAAATCTTCACTGCATGCGTCTAATGAGATGGCTAGCGGAGTTTATTCCCGTATTTCTGTGGAAATCTTTTGAAATTACTTTTGTAAGATCATAAAGAAAAAATATAGTTAATAATTTTAAGAGCGAAATTATCACTCTCCGAGATCCCCCATGTTATTGAGAAATAAAGTTGAAAAGTTTGAATAGATTTAGAAAAGAAAATGAAGAATGAAGCCTATCAGATTTTAGCAGAAAAAGCAATAACAATCCAATAAAAAATAGTAATGCAGTAGAAGAGACAACTGCAAGAATATCGAATGCCTAATCGTCAGAGAACCTTCAGGTATATTTGCGTTACCGACGCAATAGTGATTTCTGTGAAATTTACAGAAAGACCTTTAGTAACCATAGTTCTTTCTAGCAACTCATGTGCTTTGGTGTAATATTCATTTCTTCTTTCCCAGCAAATACTGCTATCTCAATTAGTTAACACTTACTTTGAAGTTTCCATAGCATCCTCAAATCCAGAGTAATACTACATACACGAACGCTCTATGCATTCCGTCGCCTTTGTTTAGAAATATTTAACAAACGCCTTCCTGCATTAACGGAGTAACAACATAGATCAATAACACACGGAAGAACCTGTGGTACAGGTGATGGAAGGCAGTCTGTTGTTCAATGTGAGGTTCTGTAGGCGTAATTGTTCGAGTCCGTTTTGCTTCCTCCAACTCGACGCGCGGCGGAAAATGAAAAGGGTTGTTTACACGCATTACCATGCATTAACAAAGAGTCCACACACGCGCATACCACCCGTTCATGCGATTCTCTTCTCTCTCTCGTTTCGGACTGGAATATCAACATGTTTGACGGAACCGTTGCTGCCGGAGATACATACCAGTAAATTTTGTAAGATTATGGGGAGTTTTTGCACGGAACAGCGTTCAGCAATAGACTGCATTTTTGAGTCTGTGCATGCGCTAAATCGAAACCCAACTCGCAGAGATAACCGAGCTCGCGATTGGCGCATGCCGAGTTTATAAATAAAGTTTAGAATACGTTCCTACATAAAACAGTGTATTTTACAACCACTCCATTCATTATTTCACTTATCTGTATTAGACATGTTTGTCTTTCTGCGTCTGAGAATACAATAATATCAACAACTGTTTTTTGCTGGAATGAAATCATTAAAAATGATTAATTCCTTTGTGCCAATGGTAAATGTAAATTTTTTATCAAAACCTCTTGATACATAAATAGTTAAAATAATTAAGTATATTATATTAATTATTTTAAATGTGTTTTTATTCAGTCATAAAAAATCGTATTTCTAAGTCTTATATTATCTTCTATACTTCAGCATCGTCTCACCATAATTAATCATAATCATTTCCTGACAGCACATTATTTAATAAAAGTGAATGAAGAGATTATGAAAACATTAAATTAAGGAACAAATTAAAATCAAAAATGTAACTTGCAAAACATTTTTTAATTTTTTTTTAGTTATATAACTTAAGAAAACATTTCTCTCAGTGTAAAGGTCATTTTTAAATTCAGAATCTCAGTAATTTTTCAATGAAAGAATTTTTTATATTAATTTTACAATGTTTTAGTTTCATTTCTAATAAAGTCTATTTCCGATTTTAAATTCCTTAGAATGCCTTCCCATTCTTGCAGCATTTCTCAGCATTAAGTCCAAGTGACCTTCCTTGCACCTCTCGAAAGAATCATTCCTAGGTTACGAGTGTGTTTCTCTGCCAGAGGCGGAGTTTGTACGCCTGGCACGTTGCTGGCGTCATGGCTAAGGTTTGCCTTCTGTGGACATTTGTTCTTCGCAACCTTGCCGGTCACTTGCGAAGGGTATTCGTGGTCTATTCTTTTGCAGTCGTTGACGATGTAATAGCAGGAGTAGCGAGTGCGCAGTAGATGATGACAAGTCTCTCATCAGGTAATACTGATGTTTGTAGCTGTTTTTTCGGGTTGTTTCATGAAGTATCAATTTGTAAGAATGACGTACAAGTAAATGATACGATATCCTACAAATTCATTCTTATTATTACTTCAGCCTCTTATCCCTCGAATAGAGGCATAGTCATAATCACGGCACTAGAAGGCGAATAGGTTAATATGAATATACAAGCTGTTCAGATTTTAGATACAAAGGCCAATATATTTGTTAATATTCCAATAGATTTACATTTACGGTTGCTCAAATAATGAAAAAAATTAGAGTGACAATAGGAGAAGAAATACTAGTGTTGAATTATTCTCCAAACGGCAGGTAATTTTGGCCTCGCTAAGCAGTTAATGTCGAAAACTCGCCACTTCATAGCCAAAGTCGCTGTAGATACCGCGACAACTCTGGCGCTGAGTTAACTCTGTTTGTTGAAACATACGAATACTACAAGCATTACAAAAATATACCTTTCAACGAAGTAGATCCGAAAAAGTGCGAATGAGAACACTCGCTCCGAGAAGTATGTTTTGTGTCTATTAATATAAATAAACGGGATTAAAACTCAAGCCTAAAAATGGTGACTTGTTATTTCTATTCGTACAAATAATATCGTTCAGTTATTTTTGTAAGAATATAAATATTCCGAAATTAGACAAACTTCCTATGACAAAGTAATATGGGTCTTATAGCTGATTTTACAGATAGTGACTGAAATCTCTCAATTCTTGATATTCATAAAATTCGATTATATTTTCACACTAATAATATTACAAGGGAACTAAAGAATGTGCAAAGTTTTCTAGAAGCAATTCGTTCTTGTTTGCGGACAATTAAGACTAAAAGCGTAAGTAATTAAAAATAATATTCAGATAATTGGCTTTCATTGTGTGAATTCAAATTTTAAAAAATCGTATAAAAGTCTTGTATTCAATCTATTAAATAAGCAAGTAAATTAATAATATTAATGTAAGGAGCCGATCCGGATAACCTAGATTGCTGTGACAGTAGTGCCGCGGTGATCTGGAATGGAAAGATCGCGGGTTCTAGTCCCACCTTAGCCATGGGAGTGTGTTTATTGTTTGTATTTATTGTATTTACATATAAATAAAATACTTTTACTGTAGTGCGACATAATTACTTTGAATCTTGGTTAGATCATAAGAGTGAATTCTACACAGAAATCCTGAGTCAACACTGAGACCCTCCGCTGCGTCATTTAGCTTTACACGCGTAAGGAGGTTTCGCGCACGGACTTGGGCCTTTCACCAGAAAATGACGCATCCTCCCTAAAGTGGACTGCCGCAAACGGTCATGTCACGCGCGCTCTCCTCGACATCCAGGGCAAGTGGGCGCGAAATGCTCTCGCATTCCCGACAGTTGCTACCAGTGTAGCCTGCCACATGCTTCTTTGCTCCACGAAGAGAAATAATTCAATTTTTGGACGAACGTAACTAGTGAAAAAGCTGGTCCGAATGGCAGAGATCGCTAAAGCAATAGTGTCGTAGTAAACTCGGACCGAAGGATCGCCGGTTAGAGTCCTGCCTGGGGCATGGTTGTATTGTGTTTGTCCTTTCACCCCCTATCATCATCATATTGAGTCATTCTCATGGTTACCATACCGTTACTCGCAACAATAGTCGCTAATGACCTAGAAGTTGATGCGACCTTAAATAACATAAAAAAACTAGTAAAAGAGGTTCGTTTACAACAGGCATAGTGTGCTTTAAATTAACTTTTTAGCACTAGTGCTTGAAGTGAGGCCATGCTCAAGTATTCAGATAAGCGTGAGCCTGAAACAAAGAAAACAAAATAATAACGCCCGTCCGCACCAGGTTCTACTGATTCTAATATATTATTAAGTGATTTGTATACTTCAATTAAAATAAAATTAAAGTAAATAAAGCTGCCTAAATATATTGTATATGACACACGTGGTAAAAGTGATTATATTTCGCTCCTAGCATTGTCTCACTTTGCCTATCGCCTGGTGTTGCAACCTTTATTACTTGTAAAACAAATTGCCACGTTTATCGCTCTTATCGTAAATAACTATTATTTAGATGTGAATATAGTTTAAAATTAAATTGTCGAACTGATGGGAAAACTAGGTCGCTGAAATTCCCTCTGTTTATTCCAACTATTTATAACGAATGAATCAAGAATTTATTCTCTTCTACATTTCAAAAGAAGTAAAAGATATATTTCGTAGAAAGCAACTCTGTAATTTCAGTCGAGAATTTATAATATTATGCAACTCTACAAAAACATGATCGGCTTCGATTAAAAGAGACAAAATACTTGCAAAGTATGTATGCTTTCATTTTTTTGTTTTTATTTATAGTTGCATCAGCAAATTGGTTATTAACGACTATTACAGGTAGTGTACTTCATTAGAGTTTGATTTCATAAACTATGATATTTAACAAAACCGATTATATAAATTAACTTTACAGCATCCTTTAATCAGCATTAAATCGATATTTGGGAGGGATATTTTTGTATGAAACAATAAAGTTAATTTTATTATTAATTATTATGTGGAAACGGAATTTTAACTGTGTATAATGTTAATTTCGACATTTTGTCAAATTCATGAAGTACTTCTCTGAAACATTATTTCTGTCACTTTCTGAGTAAAAGCACACACACAGCACTGACGCCGAAAGCAAATTAAAAATGAGATTTTCCGCGAAGGTATATGTTTTTCAATTAGCATTTACGCCAGGGGCTTCGCGCACCTGGAGCTGGCAAGACCTTGCGAGTGAAGTCAGCAATGGGGCAAAGGTGAGAGCCACTGTTTTCGAGGATTGGTGGCAGCCCTGCGCTTGGGTTCTTGACCCGCGCGCGTCGCCGTGGGCGAAACTAACGGCACCGCGAACGCCGCGCGGAGCAGACGACTCCCACAATGGGTGGCGGGGGCGGGGCGGGGCGGGGCTGCGAGGCGGCAGTGGCAACGACGACGGCAGAGATGGCGGTGACGATAATGAAAACAAAGGAGACGCCAACCACTGCAGCGCCCGAGCTCAGCGGAAGTTATTTGGCGAGGAGTCCGCATTACTTGTAATGATAGTACCTACTCCTTTCTCTTCATATATTACTGTAGGTCATTCCACGTTAATTAACCGGCAGAGGAGTTCAAAGATTAAAGGTGTTCATCAGTTGTCACTGCATAAACTCTGTCAGGGAGGTTGTAGGGTTCAAATCCCAACGAGGGCAAGAATTACGACACTCAGCCAAGGCGAATTCAGCCACTCTCTGGAGAAGGATTCTTGCGGGATTGGTAGTTTTCCGAGGCTTCTCTGATCAACAACAGGCGAATGCCGGAGCAGTACACTTGCAAGCGGGCCATAGACCTCGTGCGATCTTTCCTTCCTCATCCTTGTCCCATTCCTTATGTCTAACTTGCACCCACATGCAGTACACTACCAGACTTGCCGGAGCCCAGTTGAGCTTATCCTAGTTGGACCGGTGCCAAGCTGGTGGGAGATACCTGGCTGGGGAAAATCCCCGTAAGCCGACGCAGGTCGGCGCCGGATCTTGCCATCCAGCGGGGGATGATCACTTGATAAAAACATGCACTACATCTACGGGACTAATGACATTAGCAGTTGTTGGGCGTGAAATCAATCAATCCACGTTAATAGCTCTAAGAATTAATGTCATTTTTATAATATATTACAGCTACCCGAGTAGTGTTTTCTTTACGGAAGAAAGTCGTTGAAGAATGTTGGCAAGTGCGAGAGATACTAACCCAGTCGCAGGTTTCAGGATGAATGAAAAGTGCTGATGCGCTGGGGAGAGATGTGAATCTGAGAGTGGAGTTGGAAGATATGGCAGCGCAGCAGTTGCTGCTCCAGTTTGCTCTCGGCAATATTTCAATGATTTTGAAAATAAACAATAGTGAGAGTGCCGGGCAATGTCACGAATTTAAAAACGATAATTGCACATGATGTTGAGAGACTGGCGATCAATTGAATATCAATTACTGCGATGTAGGTAAGAATATATTCTTATATTCGAAATGGGTTAAAAACGCAATAAATTGTGAAATAAACTAACACATCATCTTACTTCCCGCATTTCATTAGTGGAAAGCATGTAATAGTATATAATTACATCAATACTACTTTTATTCACTTTATTTATTACCAGTAGTGTATTTTCTAATATTCAATTTCCCACATAATAATAATAATAATAATAATAATAATAATAATAATAATAACAACAATAACAATAATAAGAGGATGATGTACGATACTTATTACAGGATATAAGTGAGAACGAAGGCTTGATGACATCCTTTTTCTGGAAAATAATGGTGTGGTATGTACTTGTCTTCCAATGTGTGTGAAAAGATGGGAGTGATATACTGAGGAGTAAACCGGTGATCAGAGGTACGTGATTGTGAATGAAATGATGATTTAGACGGGATCCGACAGGACTGTCTGAAGTTCACGCTCGCTGCGCCAGCTCGCAACTCCAGCTCTATACTGTTTGTGGTTGCACTTGAAAGCAGCAAGAGCCTCTCACTGTGCCTCTTACGCGAAAACGAAAGCGGAAATTCGGTTGAAAGGGAAATTCGGGAATTGCTTATGCAACGCGCGTTCTGAATGGTTATAGAAGAAAATACGTATATTTCTGAAGTGAATTTCCTTTCAACACGCACAAAGTAAACTGGCGTCATATGGACAATAATCAGACTGTTTATTTAAGATCATATGAATTAATATAGCGACTTTCAAAACTATACATTATCTACTTTGTAAACAATGAACTACAAGAGGTATTATTATTTCTGTTTACATTAATATACATTTAATATCTATATATAAATTATTAATGTATTTCATATTTATTTATGAGTCCATTACAATGTAGTTTTAGGTTGTTGACTGCTACAAAAAATTGATTGTAATACCTCATTTGACGCAATTAGGGCATGTTTTTATTAAGGTGCATTACGAAAAACAGCTTCCATACCCTAACAATACAAGAGAAACAATAACTGATAATGCGGCATTTCCCAGACACATTTATAGGCAAGAGCATTCTACTCTTTCCGTAACTACCCGCTCCGAAGCCTTCACTAGAGCTTACCTCGAAGGCACTTCCCTTCCCCGTCCCTTTTGCACTTCCCCTCTCCGAGCTCCCGCGCTTGCTCCTACCAGTGCCAGGACATTCGCCCTCAGAGAGTTGACTTTGCAAGATCTGGGATTCGTGATGGACTCAAGCACATCGTCCGTTATGCGCCTGTCGAACCTGTAACCTTCGACTCTGCGTAACATCAAGCTCCTGCGCCATCAAGGTACGTGTTCTAGATTTCTATTTGACTTTTAATTGCGCCATTATGATTGTAGTTTTTACTACACTGCGGAACAAAGAGCATGCCTCAGTAAAATGATTTTCGTGTTTAATCGCATATTTTTGTTTTTCGCGTTCTGAAGGAGTTTATACAATAACGGAAAAGACATGCTTGGAAAATCAAACAATAGAACATGTGACACATTTCAATTTTCTGGGATGGAATGTGAAGTTACGACCGGAGCCATGATGTAAAAAATAAATCGCGCAAGTTCCAATATATATGCGGCACGCTATACAGAACATTGAGAAATAAGACCAGAAAAGATACAATGATGAAATTTTATAAAACATTGACAACATTAGGAGTCCTTTATGGGAGTGAAAATTGGATTTCCACTCAAAAAGAAAAAAAAATAAGTATTCAACACTTACGGTGTTTAAAAACCTAATACCAAACACACATTTATTGTATTCTTAGGTAAATACTACAATAGATGATTAGGACTGTTCTTAACTAAAGGGCCAAATAGAACAATATTTTTGTATTTGTTTGTTGGATATAAACCATAGAGCATATGTTGCTAATCGGAGAAATATATTTTGTATTATTTGCAGTTTATTTGTGGTTGTAGCTGATGCGTTAGCCCAGACGGGGCATGCACATAACATTAGGGGAGTGATTATTTATTGGTTTAATGTGATGGCATTGTCCATTGATAGGCAGTTTTTGGACTTTATTAGACTTTTATTGTGCTATTTTGCTTCTTGAGTTACAAGGCCTAGTGTTCCGTACGTTCTCTTTCACTCAGAAGAGTTAAGTGCATTCAGTAATTCAATGCCAAGGTCATCTGATTTGTTGCTATCACTACAATCAAGTGTGTACTCAGTGCGTTATCTTTGTGTACACTAGCATTATTACTTTCACAAAATGTACTACTATCTTGTGGAAATAGGCATCAAATGATAACATATACAAGTATAAATGTAATTATTTGTCAATATTTGTTTTGTTTATTTGTTTATTAATCAATTACTTTGTAAAATTATTACAGGTCTAGTTTTAATTAAAAATGTCAACTGTAGATGAATAGTGAAAAAACTCTCACTAATCATGGGCTAAAATGATCTAACTAAGGAATGCCATCGGTAACTTGGCCCCCGCAGTTCAAAGGTCTATCACGCGTTTAGTACCTGTGATAGCTGGCGTTGTTCGAGCACGAGCACGGCTTCCCACACAGAGCGCCAGACCCGAGGCATCGATTGACCGTTGCATAACCGCAGTCGCTTTCGCACCCGCCCACCAACTCTTTGACGGGCAACGAGAAGAGTGAGGGCACTGGCTTAGGTGGTGGCATCAATTAATGGCTCTGTAGTGCCTCTGTCCAGAGGGTTCCAGGGTTCGTGTCCTGACGGTGGCAATGAACTTTCGACACTACCTACGTACTAGCTAGGTCGAATTCAGCCGCTGTGTGGAGGAGAATTCTAGCGGCCGGCTGCTCCGATCGGTGATTTTCCGTGGTTTCTACGATCAACGCCAGCCAAATGCCGGAGCAGTACCCTAACAAACGGACAGCGCATAGCACGCGATCTTTCCTTCCTTTTCCTTGCCCTATTCACACACACACACACACACACTAACGCTCTCTACACTATCGCTTACTACACTATCGCTCACTACACTAACGCTCACTGCACTAACGCTCATTACACTACCACTCATGCCGGAAGACCCGTCAGGAACTAAGAGCTAGTCCCGGCCGGGGCGGTGCCCCATTGGTGGGAGATACTTTGTGAGGAAAAAACCGCTAGCCGACGGTAGGTCGACGCCGGATTTCGCCTTTACAGCGGGGTGAAAGATCACCGCCACCTCCCGAGCAAAAACATGCATTACACTTACGGTACTAATGACCCTGCAAGTTGGCGTGCCCGGAATCGCTAAACTATTAATCAATCAACTAACTTTCTCATCCATGTCCCCCCACTCCCCGCAATGCACTAGCGCATATTAGGGCACCGGTCGGGCCCTTACAGAATGTCGTGGCTGACGCGGGACACCGCTGGGGGAAAGAAAACCCAGCAAGCTGGCTTGTAGGTCAGCATCGTATTTCACATCCAAGTGGAGGAGGAACACTGTCAGCTCCTGGAATATAACATTCACTATACTTATGGGTCACAATAGTTTACGCACCCAAAATTAATGATCCGTCACTAACTCGCTTACTGCCCTCAAATATTTCGTCTATAAACAAAAATTATTGCCACCCACGTTTTACCATCCTAAGTGAGGAATTCCATTGCGTCACTAGCTTTGCGCATGCGGGCGCCTTTATCACTTTTGGTGCGTTTGTTTTGACGTCCTCGTTTTCCGCGCATGCTTTCTCCGCAAATGCCATTTGAACTTTCAGCGCTATCTCACAACCTTCTGTGGCGATATTGCAAATGCTCTACAAATGCTGTAAGTCATATTACAATGTTATCAATTTCTAATGGGGTGGTATATTTCGCCAGCACATAATGAGACCTCCTTCATGAAATCGTTGTCGTATTTTTGAAAAAGTTTTGAGAGTATTGTTCTTACACTATCACATTAAACTATTTGGGAAAAGAATATTTTATTGTTGTAAAAGTTGGTGAATTATTCAGAATTATTTTAGCTATTTCAATAGGTTTGAATGTACAAAATTCTGGATATACAGAAGTTACAGAAATTTTCCATTTAGAACGAACATTATTCACAACTTTGTTTTGCTTCC